CCCCCTAATATCCTAGCAACGCCACTGCTGCGCAAGTCTTGGTGTACGAGATAATCGTGACCGACAGGCACGCATTCGGGTGAAAGCTGGTACAATGAAGACCAGACAGAAATCACAGGAACAAGGATATCCGTGTTCAACACTCAATACGATCACGTGAGTGTACCTTCCTGAAAATGTTAACTGTTCACATAGGCTTTCAAAATTGGTACAATTATCATTTGTCCTTGCTGACACGTTTTGCCTCAAAAATTCAATACATGAAGTTACTTCACAGAGGGCAGCTTCAGCATTCAGTCTTTTGTAGCATCATTTATTGTGGGATGTTCGACAGCCGCGTGAGATTTGCGTGCGATATTGGCCTAGTACACTGTATTCTTTTTAGGGGGACACATCTTATATTATTCAGCGACTTGGAAAACGGGATGTCCATTGTAATGTTTCTGCCGCTGTGTAATCCACACTGACGCCGCTATGATGTTTACTGGGGCAACGTGCGTGATGATAAAAGTAAATTCACACTGCACGAGTTTAGCATAATGAAGGATTATAGCAGGTTTTGGCCTTTTTGCAGCATTATTTGACATAATTTTTCCTGAAATTTGTCTTACTTTCAGTCACATAACACAGCCATTGAATTAATACATCTTATTTGCATTTCGATTTGACGCGCGAGTTATCTACGGAGGCGTCTAAAGGCCACTTGCAAAAATTTTCTAGTTAGGCTAAACAAATAAAATGGTGTGTTTACGGTAACCCGACCGACCTGAAAAGTTTTCGGCCAAATTGCCGACCTCAAACTTTTTATTGTCATTTTGAAGGTTGATACTCATAATTTTAAATAAAAAGATGATTCAAATAATAAATTATTTTCCACGGAATATAAACCATTTTCCACTCTTGATACCGGCCGACCACGATTTTGATACAAATATAGCCTGTTAAACTTGCGAAAATCGCAACGATCTCATCAGAGCTAAGACCCGTCGTAACTCACCGGTGCTGGTTTATGCACGTGTTCAGACCTTTAGTCTGGAATGTTACTTGCGCATGCTCATGCATATCACATTAACCAATACAAACAATGGAAATTTGTCCGGGTTTTCACTAAGTCCAAGGCCGTTTTCCAATACTCAATTCGGCTCCGTCTGAGGCTTCAACTGTTTTTTTATTAACTAGCTGATGTTGAAGCTGTAAGCGCAGTAATTAGTTTAATAGTGCCACAAAACATCAAATAAGATGCAAGAGAGCCAGAAATTGCAGTAATCAAATTTAATCTAAACGCTTCAGGCCCACAATCGGGGATTGGTTTTGGGAACGATGCCTGAGACGGAGCCCAAGTCGAGTATTGGAAAAGGGCCTAATTCTCATGTCACACCGGCCTATACATCGCTTACGCGCACGTGTACATTTTTGTAGGCCTACGTACACGTCGTTGACAAGTTGTCATAATGGCGTCTGACCTGTCTGGCGGCCCAGTGTCAAAATTATTCAGTTTGAAACTCGAGAAAAGCGTCTATCAACCAGCTCAGCTGAAATTGATCAACTTGGATCTGAGCAAAACATTTCTGGATGTTTTCAGTGACAATCATGTCCAGGGGCCAGCAAATATCGACGCTTCGTGTTCGACGTCTGAAAGTGGACCGTGGCATACTGTCGAGGCAGCGTGTACGCTGTTCAGTATTGTTGATGTATTCCCGCAATTAAGTACATTAAAGTTGAAAGTAAGGCGCAGAGACAAGAACTGACCTGCAGCTGCAGCACTGTGGAACACCGGTGCAATGCATTCAAAGTTATTATGAGGACGACTGAGGAACCCTTTCAAAAACGGACTAAAAGGTAGGCGGCATCATTCATTTCAATTTATGCAAACATATGCAGCAAGGTATGAGA